TATATATATATATATATATATATATGTATATATGTCGGAAAAATAAAGTCACAACCTAAATAATACGGTCTCGGAGATAACATTGAAATATGAAAAAAATGCGAAGAAGAAATAAACGATCTTTAAAATACCAAAATACGTTCTATTCTGCGATCATGCTTGCACCTGTTTCCGTCAGATTCCACATTTGATCTCTCGCGATTAAAACGAAGGAAAAAGAAGACAAAAAAATAATACCTTCCGTAGATTAGATAACGTTAAAAAGAATTGAAATTTATTGCTATTCTCGTTGAACAAGAAGAAGAGAGAACAAGAGAGAAAAAAAAGAAAAACATAAAAAACGAACGAAAGAACGAAAAATATCATCGAATTCCAACGTCCTACTCGTGGACAATAAATTATCGATTATCACCGAACGATATTATTCGCAACGCACATATCGATATACAAAAGTTTATTTACCGAACGATTTCAAAAATTTGCATGGCACCACGACTGCATTTTACAGCTATAAATATAAATTCTACAATGGTTTTCAAAATTTCACGCATTCACTTTGAGCAAAAACTTTGAATAAACAAGCAAGTAAAATGGAGAGAAAGGCAACTAATTTATTCGAATAAAAAGATCCTTCCGAAAGTTGTTCGTGTTGTTTGTCCAATGAGATCAACCCGACGGTTGCATCCGACGCGTGAAGAAATGTGCTTGCTCGTTGTAAATGACGTAATTTCTTTCGGCGTGTCAACGATATCAAACGAAAAGTTTCAAACGTGAGACGAGGTAGAAAACAAAGAAGCAAAAAAATAAAAAGAAAAGAAATAGACAAAAAAAGGGAGAGAGAGAGAGAGAGAGAGTGAGTGAGTGAGGAATAAAAATATTAAACTCTCACTTTACCTATCATCGTCATCGTCACCGTCATCATCTGTAACGGCCTCGAGAAGGTCGAACACATTCTCAACACGATAAAAAGCAAACAAGTTGAATCCCACTAAAAACGTGACGTTTGTTTGTACAACGGGTAGGTAGTTAGGTTTGTAACGATATCGATGATGATTATCATGAGAAAAAAAAAGAGAGAGAGAGAGAAAGATTAGAGAAAATAATAATCGATATTAAATTACCTGATAAATGAGATCACGAGAAAAGTAAAAAAAAAAAATAAGAAATAATCACTCAAACAAAAATTCTCTCATTTAAAAATAAAACAACACACGTATACACCCCTATGTATGATTCAAATTCATTCAAATGTTCCTTTTTTTTTTCTTTTTTATCAATCACATATAAGTAAATAAATATTTTCAAAATTTCTAACATAAAATATAATTTCAAAAATTCTTCAGTGATTCGAGAACAAATTACATACATAAATACATTACATATATACATACATACATACAAATATAAGTACGTATATATACAATATATGAATCACGAGAGAGAAATAATAAGACACGCGCACGCGTATTCGAAACGTTCGCGCCGAACGTTCGTCGGCGAATGCTCGTAACTGGAACGTCTCCGGCCTTCTAATAT